TCTGAAGCATTTTCTCCATGCCTCAGTGAAACTTTTCATACCTGTAGGTAACTCCTAGATATTTACTGTGGAGGCATACCAACTCTCTGCTTCTTCATTTACAACTGAAATACTGAGTAAGACAGGCAAACTGTTACAGCCTAATGCAAGATATTTTCAACTTTTTCTTCTGGATCATTAGCGCTTCAAAATGCTTGAGATAAGATCATGGGTTTCATCTCGAACAACTGCCAAGGCTGTGTCTGGAGTCCTTGTGGATAGTTGGCATCAAAGCTGTGGCATTGGTCACGGAGCTGGAAAGACAAAACCCCCAAATCCCTTTCCCTAGTAATGTGGCAGATAGCACCACCTCTTTACAGATAAATGGATGAAGAAATCAAAACCACCCCAAACTATTTTTAAAGGCCTTTATTCACTAGAATCTTCTCACGATAGGTCTTACTTTGACGCTAAAATATTCACACACAAATCTGCCAACTGAAGAAATTGGCATTTTTGAGTGCGTGCATACATTTCTGCTTCCTTTGTTAAAATACGAGATCCCAAACCCAATAAACTGGGAAGCTATTCACAGGACAGTGACATTGTCCTGTGACTCTGCTTTCATTGTTTTATAGCAGTCCACGTTCAGTAAGTAGTTCAGACATGTGGCTTGTCTCTCCCTGGGAGCTGGTTCTTCTGTCTTCTTTTTTAGCATCCTTGTGGTAAACTCATTCCAGGACTCAGGGCACTAGGGCTCTGGGCCTTAGTTTTCTCCAGAAAACGAGAGAAATAAAAGGGGATTTATACCTTGCCCAGAGGTATTGCGAGGATTAGATGGACTTGGCTTCAGTTTGGTGCCTCAGACATAAACAAAGCGAATGTTTCAGGCATTTACTCAGGCAGTACAGTGGAGTCTTTTTGTCATGGTGGAGGCGGTTTCTATTTGAAGTTACCCACCGCATTTTCCCCAGCCATGTGGCAGTGTTTAGCAGTGAAGCTACGCTTCCAAAATTGAGCTGGAGTTTAAATTGGCAGCTCTGTCATGAATAGGCCTGGTGTGGTCTCAGCTGGGCCTGCTGGGATTAGTCAGCCCTTGGGTAGTATGCAGGAAGTTGACTGGTGGGCATGTTAGCTTAACTGAGAGTTTAGGCTCTGTTTCCATTTCCTGTAAGGCACTCTGGAGACATGGCAGAATGCATCTGTGCTGATTGTGAGCTGGAGTAGAGCAGGGTAAGAGCTTTGAGGCGGGTCTGTCTTCTCTGTTGAGTAGTCCAGAGTGGAGAGTGAGTTAGCGGAAGAGAGAGAGGTAGGGTGGGTGTGGAGAAGGTTACTTTGAGCAGAACTTCAAAAAACAGTGTGAGGAATCTCTGTATATGGACTTTAATTTCTACTGGATAAACAAGTACAAAACCAAAAAAAAAAAAAAACCGAAACCCATTACCGTAGAGTCGATTCCGACTCAAAGCGACCCTACAGGACAGAGTAGAACTGCGGCCATGAGGAAGTAGGTGGGAACTGTGTCCTCCAGGTTACTCACCTCCCTCAACCCTGCAGTCCACTAGAAACCCCTTGTCTCAAGTAGTCATATAATTATTTCATAGGATGATTGCATGGCAGACACCCTGAAATGCTGTGTCCTCTGGAAAAAGTTGTCGCGCAGCAACAAAAAACCTTATGGCATGAATCAGGTTTTTTCATTAGCTGTCCTTTACTCTGTTTTTTAGAGCTGTATAATATTAATTATGGCTCAAGAGATTTCACTTGTCCCTCGTCATCCTCCTCTTCATTGTGTGCAGGTGTGTGTTGGAGTGTGTGTGTGTGTTGGAGTGTGTGTGTGCGCGCGCGCGCACATTTGCGTGTGCATCTGTAATGAGCATGTGTGTGTGCGCGCGTGTGCACACATGCTCGGGTACTCCATGGAAATTTTTTCTCTGGAGTTTTTTTGGCGGGGGGAGTCAGATCTGGTTTAATGACCTGGATGGGTGGTAATAAGAAAATTCAAAATACTAGCCTTAAATGCGTAGGAATAATAAAAATTTATTGTTATTTTCTGGAAAATTGATTGTAGAATGTTTATGCAGGTACTGTGGACCCTTTATAATTTCAGTGGCACTAATGTGAATGAATGTTATAAACTGAATGAAGCATGGACAAAAAAAAAAACTGCCCAAATTGTCAAAACCGCGTTGAGTGAAAGATAATAAATCATGATTATTCTTTCGGCCGTTGTGAAGGTGGTCCTCTGTCTCTGCACTCATGCTTATAGAAGACTCTTTTCCAGCTCTAATAATTGGCGCACAGCACATCACTTCACATGTATCACCTCATTCTGTACAGACTCGCCCTGCGCCGTCCAAAATACAGCGGAGTGCCCTTATAGGGCTCGATGTTCCATAAAGGAGTTCACTGTAACTCGGAACTGCCCTGGGCCCTTTGCAGACAAGTTTATTAGATGAAGTACCCAGATTGCCTCATTTTCAGGTTAGCCTGAGCCTGCATCTTCGATCCCCGAGGATGCCATCGGCGTGACGCCCCACCGTACCGTAAACACCTGTAGTGAGAGTCTCAAGAAGGTCTTCGGTCAGGTACTGCTTCGTGACGATTCTTTTCTTTAGACCTTTCAGATTTACGTGTCATTGACAGGCTTCCCAGCTCCCGCTTGGCTCTCTCTTTTTTCCTGGATTTCCGGTCAACCTCTGTTTCCTAATTTCTGGTTCCTGGGTGTGCCAGTGGTGCCGACGAAGATGATTCTTCAGGCTTGCCCGCTTTCACTTACAGTGACGGCGACGACGGTGCTGGTGGTGGTTGATGTTGCTGTCAGGTGCCGTCGAGTCAGTTCCGGCTCCCAGTGACCCCCCCACGGACAACAGAACGAAACACCGCCCAGTCCTGCGCCATCCTCACAATCATTGTTGTGCTTGAGCCCGTTGTTGCAGCCACTGTGTCAGTCCATCTCATCGAGGGTCTTCCTCTTTTTCGCTGACCTTCTGCTTTACCAAGCATGATGTCCTTCTCCAGGAACTGGTCCCTCCTGGTAACATGTCCAAAGTATGGGAGACAAAGTCTCGCCACCCTTGCTTCTAAGGAGCATTCTGGTTGTACTTCTTCCAAGACAGATTTGTTTGTTCTTCTGGCAGTCCATGGTATGTTCAATATTCTTCACCAACACCATAATTCAAAGGCGTCAATTCTTCTTTGGTCTTCCTTATTCATTGTCCAGCTTTTGCATGCATATGAGGCGATTGAAATACCATGGCTTTGGGCAGGCACACCTTAAACTGCAAAATGACATCTTTGCTTTCTAAGATTTTGAAGAGGCCTTTGCAGCAGATCTGCCCAGTGCAGCGCGTCCTTTGAAAACCTCGTGGGTGGTGATGGCAGGGGTAGCAGTGATAGCAGCAGCAGCTACAAGAGGAAGCACTGTTCATGAAGTAGTCACTTACCACGTGCCACGCATGTGATCTACGGGCATCGTGTCGTTCATACCCCTCCCATCTCTGTGGGGATAATTGTTATCATCATTCCCCTTTTACAGATGAGAAAGCTCTGAGAGTCAGGGAAGCTCGGTAATTTGTATGACATTCCTGAGCCAAAGGCAAAGCTAGGAGGGGAAGTGACTCCAAAGCCTGTTTTCTTTCTGCTCAGCCACTCATCCTTCATATCGTCGGTCAAGGGGACTGACTTGAATGGACTCACTGGAGCTGGGGAGCCAACAACACGGTTGGACTTCACTCAGGCGAGTTTGTCTAAATTGATAGACATATGGCCTTGCCTCTGCTTGTTGGCGTTTTGCGGCTTGAGAAATGTGTAATTTCTCATGTGAACTTGCCCTTTGGAACATCACGGAGGAAAGCTGATGGAATCATTGCTCCTGTCTGGAAGTAAATCCGTTTAAAAATATCATGTGAGGATTTGTGTCTGTAGCCTTATGGGGACAGGGACATGTCTGGTTTTCTAGGAAAGTCAGAGTCAGAACTTTATTACAGATTTTGATAGAGTTGTGGCCGGGATTGATCTGTGGGGGCGCTGAGGGGGTAGCCAGCTGGAGTGGGAGCATCCACGGAAGAATGTCTTTGGAAATTAAACATCGTAATGAAAACGTCCTTTGGAAGGCAGATTTCCAGGTGTGTTGTAAACCGTTTTCGGCTATAATTGAAATAGGAAAGAACGCTTCAAACACAGGAATCTATTTTTTTTAGTGATTGTTGTGCTGATCCTTAAATCCTAGCATTAATTAATGTAAGGATGGGATTTGAAGCATAAAAGTACCCGTTTTAATCATTTAGCACGTTGTTCAAAATTAAACTGGTTGAGGCTTCAGCTCGAAGGGTGAAAATCTCACTTGCATCCGTCAGATCCCACTGTACGTAATCTTCCAGAAGCAACCACCAGGGGTTACGAGGCAGCTTGTGAAGGGGGCGCCCTCCGATTCTCAGACCCGGGATGAGGGAGAGGTTTGCAGCACTTCATGTATAATAAAGTGGCAGGGTGTGATGCTGTCTGAAGTGCTTCGTTCAAGAGTGACTCCATTTTCTGTTAAAATCTCGTGCGGTGTGGAGACGTGTGGAGACGTGCTGCAGCGCGGAAGCCTTCGGCGGGCGGAGCGTTTGCTCTCGGGAGTGGAGTGATAGATAAGCTACTGTGTAGCAGGTGCTGGAACTGTGTTTGCCTCTGCCAGCACATTTTAGGTGAGATCTTGAGCATTGAGAAAGTCAGCCTTCAGATCTTAGGAAAAAGGCCGCGTGTCCCCACCCTGCACACCCCCTGACCCAACATAGGTGCTCTTGGTTCCCATGGATTCAACAGCGCCCGCCTCCAAGTACAGGTACGAGCAGCAGTGATAGCTATGAGTGTAGATTACTGTTCTTTTCGTTTGTCCCTAAGTTAAGCAGAGCGAGCCAGATTCTTGTGTCCGGGCTGGGGAACCAAAGCAGACATAGGCGCTGAAGGGGTTTGCTGTGTGGCCTCTAGGTGCACCTGTAAGCAGTGATCTGATGCTGTTCTACCCTTTTTTCCAGACACACTACTTTGGCCTCTGGTTTCTCAGCAAAAGCCAACAAGCACGATGGGTGGAGCTGGAGAAACCTCTGAAGAAGCATCTGGACAAATTCGCTAACGAACCTCTGCTTTTCTTCGGAGTCATGTTCTATGTGCCAAATGTGTCCTGGCTGCAGCAGGAGGCCACCAGGTAGGTGTATGTTATTCCTGTGCTCCATGTGAGGGTGTGGACTGACTGTGCGGCTTCAGATACAGTAGATGAGCTGGTTGATTAAGGGCTTGTGTGTGTGTGTATGTGTGTAGGAGGAGGGTGGGGTAGTTGGGAAGGTTGGAAATTATTTAACAGTTCTTCTGCAGCTTTGTAGTCCTGGTGGCGCAGTGGTTAAGAGCTCGGCTGCTAACCAAAAGGTCGGCAGTGCCAATCCAGCAGCCACTCCTTGGACGCCCTGTGGGGCAGTTCTGCTCTGTCCTGTGGGTTGCTATGAGTTGGAATCGACTCGAGGGCAGCGGGTTTGATTTTTTGGTTTTGCAGCTTTAGAATTTTTGTTTGAATCGATTAGGTACCTCCAGTGGTTCTCCAAAATGTTGCTAAGGTAATCTTGAGCCAGGTAGAATTTGGGGTGTAGCAGCAAAGAAGTGTTAATTAGAGATGGTGGGTAAAAAAACAAAAAACAAACCAAACCTGTTACTGTCAAGTCGATTCTGACTCATAGCGACCCTATAGGATGGAGTAGAACTGCCCCATGGGGTTTCCAAGGAGTGACTGGTGGATTGGAACTCCCGACCTTTTGGATAATTGCTCAGCTCTTAACCACTGGTGGGTAAAATAAATATACTAAAATTTAATAAAAAATTAACCACTTCATGCTGTTTTGTCCACTTCTCCTCCCCAAATATCCACAAACAAAATGTACCATCTGACTTTGAGTTTGAGGGTTGGGATCGTAACTAAAGATGGAAATAGAGTTGAAGGGAAAAATGTTGAGAGGCAGGAGTTTTGACTAGCTCAGGTGAACAACGGGAAACGGGAAGCAGTGGACCTCAGGAGGAGACCTAGGTGTTGGTGCCTCTCATTGGCTGTTTCACCTCGGAGAGATCATCCACCATCTTTGGAATGATAGGTCCCCCTCTCAGCTATAGAGTGAGGGTTTTGTGTAAGTTTTTGAAGTTCTGAGAGTCCACGGTTCTATGCATGAAGCAAGAGCATTTTTGTTGGTGTTAGTTTAGCTCATTTATCAGTAGGTGGTTCCATTAAAATACTGGAGTCTCCTCATCCCACGGGATATTTCCAAGAGTAGAGCGTTGTGGCGTTCATGGTGCTTGGGAAACAATGCTGATGACACATTCCCAAGAAGGAGCAGCAGTCTGTTTGATTCTCACTTGGGTAGTTTTTCAGATTTTAAATTTTTAAAATAAGGACACACTTGAAAATTTTTTTTTATTGTGCTTTAAGTGAAAGTTTATAGCTCAGGTTAGTTTCTCATACAAAAATTTATACACACATTGTTATGTGACCCTAGTTTCTATCCCTATAATGTGACAGCACACTCCTGCTTTCCATCCCAGATTTTCTGTGTCCATTCAGCCAGCTCCTGACCCTTTCGGCCTTCTCATCTTGCCTCTGGACAGGAGCTGCCCATTTAGTCTCATGTATCTACTAGAACTTAGAAGCGCACTCTTCGCAAGTATCATTTCATGTCTTATAGTCCAGTCTAATCTTTGAAGAGTTGGCTTCGGGAATGGTTTTAGTTCTGGGTTAACAGAGAGTCCGGGGGCCATGTCTTCTGGGGTTCCTCCAGTCTCAGTCAGACGATTAAGTCTGGTCTTTTACTAGAATTTGAGTTCTGCACCCCACTTTTCTCCTGCTCCATCAGGGACTCTCTGTTGTGTTTCCTGTGAGAGGGGTCGTTGGTGGTAGCTAGGCACCATCTACTTCTCCTGGTCTCAGGCTGATGGAGTCTCTGGTTTATGTGGCCCTTTCTGTCTCTTGGGCTAATATTTTCCTTGTGTCTTTGATGTTCTTTATTTTCCTTTGCTCCAGGTGGGTTGGAACCAATTGATGCATCTTAGATGGCCACTTGCAAGCTTTTAAGACCCCAGACGCCATTCACCAAAGTGGGATGCAGAACATTTTCTTAATAAACTTTATTATGCCAGTTGACCTAGATGTCCCCTGAAACCATGGTCTCCAGACCCCCGCCCCTGCTACTCTGTCCCTGAAAGTGTTTGGTTGTATTCAGGAAACTTCTTAGCTTTTGGTTTAGTCCAGTTGTGCTGACTTCCCCTGTATTGTGTGTTGTCCTTCCCTTAACCTAAGACAGTTCTTGTCTACTATCTAGATGGTGAATTCCCCTCTCCCTTCCACCCAACCCTCGTAACCATCAGAGATGTTTTCTTCTGTGTTTAAACCTTTTCTTTAGTTCTTATTATAGTGGTCTTATACAATATTTGTCCTCTTGTGACTGACTAATTTCACTCAGCATAATGCCTTCCAGATTCATCCATGTTATGAAATGTTCGCAGATTCATCGTGGTTCTTTATCGTTGCGTAGTATTCCATTGTGTGAGTGTACCATAATTTGTGTATCCTTTGGTCCGATGATGGGCACCTGGGTTGTTCCCAACTTTTTGCTGTTGTGAACAGTGCTGCATTGAACATGGGTGTGCATATATCTATTCATGTGATGTCTCTTATTACTCTAGGATAGATTCCAAGGAGTAGGATTGCTGGATCGTATGGTACTCCTATTTCTAGTTTTTTAAGGAAGTGCCAAATCAATTTCCAAAGTGGTTGTAGCATTTTACATTCCTACCAGCAGTGTATAAGTGTTCCAGTCTCTTCACAACCTGTCCAACATTTATTATTTTGTGTTTTTTTGATTAATGCTAGCCTTGTTGGGGTGAGATAATATTTCTTTGTAGTTTTGATCTGCATTTCTCTAATGGCTAATGATTGTGAGCATTTCTTCATGTGTCTGTTAGCTACCTGAATGTCTTCTTTGGTGAAGTGGCCTGTTCATATCCTTTGCCCATTTTTTAATTGGGTTATTTGTCCTTTTGTTGTTGAGGTTTTGCAGTATCTTGTAGATTTTAGAGATTAGATGCTGATCGGATTTGTTGTAGCCAAAAATTTTTACCGAGTCTGTAGGTTGTCTTTCTACTCTTTTCGTGAAGTCTTTTGATGAGCATA